TGAGAAATCCTGAAGAACAAGTAAAACATCATAAGCTTCTGCCGTTTTTGCTTCTTTGGTAGCCCTAATAGCCTGTTTACAACTTCTGTTGGCATTATTATAAGCCAAATGCTTAATTAAAATATTGGCTACAGTGTTATCACTAACACTCTGAGTCACTGCTACACTTATCCTATTCAAAAATTGTTCAAAGAGTTCTGCAAGCCCTTGTATAATTTTTGTAAAGCTAGAATTATCATCTCCTTTTTCCGGTAGCTTAGACCATGCCTGAGAGGTTGCGCTGATGTCTGCTGATATGCTTGTAATGGATAAGGTAATTGAGCTGCAACCTCTAAAAACTATCCAGTGCCAGAAAGCATTTCAAAACTAATGAGAACATTGTGCTGCTGATTTATCATACTTTGTTCTGTACAAAAATCATGCAAATCCATTTTCTACATCAAATAGTCTCTTCTCTCTATTGCAGTTTCAGCTAGTGTATACAAATCATAAGGACACAAAACTTCTTGAGTAATGGCTCCTATTAAGATTTTTACAAATGGTGCCATTGGCCCATAGGTGGCAGCAGCTTGTTTCAAAAGAAAATTGCTTTAATGAAAATGCTTTATGTCCTTGCATCGGCAAATTAGTCTGTGTGTCTACATAGTCTGTTAAAGGAAAACATGTTTCAATTCTAATGGAATATGTCCTCATCCATGGCATTTGAACCATAGCTTGTATAGGTGATAAAGGAGGTGAGGTGGATGATGAACAGTTAACTTGCTTCCCTGAGGGAAGGAAACAGTTAAAAGATGGAGGAGAGCAAGTGCTAGCAGGCATGGTTGCAGCTGAAACAGTCTGATTTAAAAACAGAATTAAAGGAGGTTTTGCCTGACCTAAAAATGGATTTAAGGAAGGATATAACTTCTCTTCCTTAACTTCTGTGTGTTCAGTTTCCAACTTTTGTTTAACAATTTCTTCTTGTAAATTTAACTCTTTTAATTTTGAATCTGTCTCCACATTTTTCTCCTTTCCCAGTTTAGGATCTGTGCCCACATTTACCCCTTTATCTAATTCTAAACACTGTTTTTAAATACTCCAAATAGAAAATATGTGCTCTGGAAAATCCTCTGGCCCTTGTTCTTTTAAACATTCATTTATTTGTTGACCAATGGTTTCCCAGGCTGTTAAATCAATGGTTCCTTCCTGAGAAAACCAAGGACAAGAGTGACCTACACATTGCCAAAAATCCTCTAATTTCTTCTTATACACTGAGAAACCTCTGGTTTGGACTAATGCCTTAAGAACAGAAATATAACTGTCCCTCTCATGGGATCCTGCATTCCCCATGTCAGCCTGGCTTAAAAAAAGAAACTTATTGAATTCACCCACACTTACCCTTTTTCTTGTTACAGAGCTCCTATTTCACTCAATGGGGTGTTCTCTTGGGTGCTAGCTACTTCACTCCAGGTCCCTGTTCGGGGTCCACTTGCCACATCCAGCATGGCAGCACAGTTCAAGAAATGAAGCAACATGAAAGCATTAATTTTTTTCTTTTTTTTTTTTTTTAATGAACAGGGGCCAGGCAAACACCTTGCGTTTACTGCAAGAGCAACCCCCGATGCCTTTGTTCTACTTTATTTATATGCCTTGCCTTCTCTAGTTGCTGTTAGGGAGTCTTGCCTTCTCTTGTTGCTGTTGGGCATGCAACTTGCATTCATGTCCTTTGATAATTTCTCTTTTGGTCTCCAACAAATGCCCAAAGAGTTAGATAGTATAATGTTTTGCTATTGTCATAAATGTGAAATATCAGATAACAGGATAGTCAATAAGTGAGGAGTAGGTGTTTTTATGTATATTATATAAAATTTCATACATTATTGGACAGTAAACTATGCTCCCAGAAAGGAACAAAGACATCTGCCCAAAAAATGAACTAGATTCATATTTGGTATTTCATTCATAGTCCTGGATTCTAAAAGTCAAGTAGAGTCATTCTTTCAAGTCATAATAATGGCTTGGGTTAGGCGCACCTTAGTCTTCAAAGAGACATCTTTGTTTTTCAGGAGTTGAAAGAGGTCTTTTGCAGCAGGTTTGCCCAATGCGATACATCATCTTATATCTTTACTACTGCTTCCTTTGGCCAAGTAATCAGAGGACTTATTGCACTGGGCAAATCTGCTGCAAAAGAGCTCTTTAAAGTGCTGAAGAGCAAAGATGTCTTTGAAGACTAAGGTGCACCTAACCCAAACCATGGTATTTTCAATTGCCTCATATGTATGTGAAAGCTGGACATTGAAAAAGGAAGAAAGAAGAAGAGTTGATGCTTTTGAATTGTCTTATTGACGAAGAATACAGAAAATACCATGGCCTGCCAGAAGAGCTCACCACTTTGTTCGGAATAAGTGCAGCCAGAATGCTCCTTGGAAGCAAGAATGGCCATATTTTGTCTCACCTACTTTGGTCATGTTGTCAAAGGGGACCATTCCCTGGAGAAGGATATAATCCTTCTGGTAAAGTGGAAGGTCAACGAAAATGGGAAACATTCTCAGTGAGATAGATTGGCACAGTGGCTGCAACAATGGGCTCAGGTAAAGAAAGGATTATGAGGCTGGCACAGGACTGGGCAGTGTTTTGTTCTGTTGTACATAGGGTCACTGTGAGTCAGAGTGAACTCAATAACACCTGACAACAACAAAAACAATAACAAATTGTAAGAGAGTAAATCTCCATTTGTTAAAGCTATCCACCTGTGGTATGTTCCTGCTAGAGTAGCACTGAAATAATCAAAAAAGTGATTTACCCTCTTTTTTCCTCCCAACCCCAGTAAACTTTGAAGAATATTTCTGTGTGTAAAACTTTTTTTGACTTTTTTTTTTTTTTTTTTTAATCATAGTGGTCTCATACAGTATCTGTGGTTTAATGGTTGACTCATTCCACTCAGTATAATTTTGTATAGGCTTATCAATGGTATGAGATATTTTACAGATTCATTCTTATCTTTTAAGGTTGCTTAATACTCTGTTGTGTGTAGGTATCATTATTTGTTTATTCATGTATCTGTTGATAAGTACATAAATTGTTTCCATCATTTTACTATTGTGAATAACTCTGTGATGAATATGAGTGTGCACATTTCTGTTTGTGGCCTGGCTCATAGTTCTTCAGCATACATCCCTAGTAGTAGGATTACTGGATCATATGATATTTCTATTTCCAAATTTTTAAGGAAGAAGTATACCATTTTTTTCACAGTGATTACATCGTTTTATTGTCTAATTAGTAGTGTATGAAGGTTATAGCCTCTCCATATTCTTACAAGCATTTTTTGATTGTTTGTTTTTTCAGGTTTGTTATCAATAATGGGTTGAGATGATATCACATTGTTTTTTTTGATTTGCATCTTATGATTAGTGATGATGAGGTTTTTTCTATATGTTTTTTGACTGCCTGTATGTCTTCTTTGGTGAAATATATGTTCATGTCCTCTACCCATTTTTAATTCAATTGATTATCTTTTGTTGTCTAGATGTTGAAGTTTTCTATAGGTTTTAGAGATTAGTACCTTTTGTAATATGTCATTGTTGAGAAACTTGCCAGTCTGTGCATTCTTCTTTCATTCTTTTGGTGAAATCTTTTGATGCCCATGTTTAATTTATGGGAATTTGTATTCCTCTATCTAGTCTTCTGCTTTTTGTATATTTTTAGTTGTTTGCTAACATATTTATGGCACTAAATTTACCTCTTTTTTTTTTGTTTACTTTGTATTTCAATTCAATTTAATATGCATTTATGAAGTACCTAATGTGTACAAGTCCCTTGGTTGTACAAATGCACAACGTGCTCAGAAGGTAAATGAAAAGTGAGATGTTCAATTCTACTTAGAGGTGCCTCAGAAGAAAGCTCTGGTAATGTTCTTCAAAAAAAATCAAGCAGTGAAAACCCTATATAGCACGGTTCTATTCTGATACTTGTGGAGTCTCCATGAGTCAGAATTAATTTGAAGGCAATTAGCACTGGTAATGTGCATAAAATGAACAAGATGCAAAAGATACACTTCTGCTTTAGTTCACACTCTGTTAGTGGATAAAGACAGGTTAAAAACTCATTATAAAATAATGTGAGGAGTGTTGTAATAAATATGTGTGCCAGATACAGAGGAAGGAATGACTAAATCAGGCTGAAATTGACAGTATACTTGGGTAATGGGTGGATCGATCCAGAATTAGAAGGAACACTCTACCTTGTCAAAGAGCTAGCTATATTTCAAGGCCTGGTTCTGGATTATAATGATTTCCCATGAAAGCAACACTAAAAATTTAGCTGCTAATCAAATGCTGGTTGTTGTTATGTGCTGTCGAGTTGGACCCGACTCATAGCAACCCCTCCTTGGGTTTCCAAAGCAGTATCACTATGGAAATAGATTGGCCCATCTTCCTTCCAAGGAGTGGCTGGTGGGTTTGAACCACCAGCCTTCTGGTTAGCAGTCAAGTGCCTTAGGCTCTGCACTACCAGAGCTCCCAAATGCTGGAGTATTTCTAATTAAAATCAGGAATCATAAAAGGATCACTGTGTTTATTTAATATTGTTTTGGAGATTCTTGCTAATTCAATGTGTATGAACAAGGATTAGGAAATATAAATGATCAGGAAGATTTTGCTTCCTTGGAGGTGTCTTTTATTTACGCATGCTCTACAATTTGTCCATTTTTTAAAAAAATCAGTATTCCAAGTGCCCAGAGTAGTGCCCTTAAATGAATAACTGCATAATTGTTGATTAGTGAATAAATTGCATGTGTTACTCTTAAATCAAGAAATCTTAAATTCAAATTAAGGAAACATGATCATATGAACTGAACCATATTCAAGGTTACCATATATATGGAATCTGAAAAGGGAAGGGATGTGTGTTTCAAGGGGGAACCTGAGGTGCCACTATTGTGTCCAATTTTACCCCTATATTTTATTTTGATGATCGTTATACTTTTAGGTTTTACATTTAAGTCTTTGATCCATCTTGAGCTAGTTTCATATATGGTGAAGGATAGGGATCCTGCTTAATTTTTCTGCAAAAGAGTATCCATGTTTTGCCAGCACCATATTTCAAAGAGAAGCTCATTTAAAGGATTTCAGTCTTTAGTCAAAAATCAGTTGTCCACGTTGTTGTTGTTGTTAGGTGCCATCTAGTGGTCTCCGACTCATAGCAACCCTGTGCACAGCAGAACAAAACACTGCCTGGTCCTGCACCAACTCCATGATCCTTGCTATACTTGAGCCCATCACAGCAGACACTGTGTCAATCCATCTTGTTGAGGGCCTTTCCCTCTTCATGGACCCTTCACCCTCCACCTGATCAAGCATGACATCCCCATTAGGCAGGAAGCGGGGAAAAGAGAAGCCAGGGAACACCAGACAGAGCATCAGGGATCTCAGGTAAGGGAAGGGACACAGGTCCCACTCCCAAGAGGCTGGAAGCGGAGAGGCTTCAAACAGCTAAGGGAGAAACACTTTTCTGTAAGTTTGTCATACTGTCATGGCTTGCATGTTGCCGTGACACTTGAGACTGTGCCACTGGTGTTTCAACACCAGTAGGGTTGCACATCATACACAGGTTTCAACACAGCTTACAGACTAAGACAGATTAGGAAGAAGCAAGAGGCCTTCTCAAAGAATTGGCCAGGGAAACCTTATGTATAGGTGGATGGATTTACTTCTTTGTTCCTATTCTGTTCCATTGGTCTAGGTGTCTGTCACTGTACCAATACCAGTATGTTGTGACTAATATGGGTATGTAGTAGGTTTTGAGATCAGGAAATATGAGGCCTCTTATTTTTTTCTTCTTTAGTAGTGTTTTACTTATCCAGGATTTCTTCCCTTTCCATGTAAAATTGATTAATATTTCTATCTCTGTAAACAATGATGATGGATACTGGATTGAGATTGCATTATATTTTAGATTGCTTTGGTGGTATTTCTATTTTCACTATGTTAAGTCTTTGTATCTATGAGTATGGTATACCTTCAATTTATGTAAGTGGTTGTGGGTTTCTTGTAGTAGTATTTTGTGGTTTTCATTGTATAGGTGTTTTGTATCTCTGGTTAGATTCATTTTTAAATGCTTCATCTTTTAGCTTGCTACTGTAAATAGTATTCTTTTCCTGATTTCCTTTTTGGAGCTCTCTTTGTTACTATATAAGAATCGGACTGATTTTATATGTTGATCTTGTATCTGTCACTTTGCTGAATCTTTGTACTAGTTCCAGTACTTCTGTGGATGAGTCCCTGGGATTTTCTGTGTAAAAGATCATATCTTTTACTCCTTCTTTGACAATTTAGTTATCTTTTATTTACATTTCTTACCTTATTTCTCTGTCTAGAACTTCCAATATAATATTGAATATAAGTATTGATTAATGGCATTATTTTTTCTGATTCACATTTGAAAAGGGAATCTTTTCTGCCTCTCTTCATTCAGAATGACTTCTTGTTGTTATGTACCGTCGAGCCAGATCCGACTCATAGTGACCCCTCCTTGAGTTTCCGAGGCAGTATCACAACGGAAGTAGATTGCCCAGCCTTCCTTCCAAGGAGTGGCTGGTGGGTTTGAACAACAAGCCTTCTGGTTAGCAGTCAAATGCCTTAGACACTAAGCTACCAGAGCTCCCTAGAATGACTTAGGCCATAGTTTTGTTTTTTTTTACTATGTTCGTAAGGGATACCAAAAAATATAAAACCAAATTCACTGTCATCGAGTCAGATCTGACTCATAGCAACCCCTCCTTGCTTATGAGGCAGTATCACTACAAAAGTAGATTGCCCCAAATTTTCTTCTGAGGAATGGCTGGTAGGTTTGAATCACCAGTCTTTTGGTCAGCAGTCAAATGCCGTAGACACTGCACTGTCCTTGCCTGGTTTTGGTATTTGAGTTAATTTTACTTCTTAGAATGAGTTTGGAAGTATTTCATCTTTTTCTATGTCCTGAAAGAGTTAGAGTAGAATTGGTGTCAATTGAATGTTTGGTAGAATTTGCCAGTGAAATCATCAGGCCTAGGACTTTTTTTCCCCTCTTTGGTATATATTATTATTATTATTATTATTATTATTATTATTATTATTATTTAGCAACCTGTTGAATTTCTTCTTTTGTGATGAGTCTGTTCAAATATTCCACTTCTTACTGTGTTACTTTGGGTAGGTAGCATGTTTGTAGAAATGTGTCTGTTTCTTTTAAGTTTTCAAATTTGTGGCAGCACTGGTTTTCACAGTGTTCAATCATTATCTTTTTTATTTTAGAAGGTTATGCTGTGACATCACATATTTTATCTTATTCATGTTATGTATATCTTCTCCTTTTCTTTTGTTAAATTTGCCAGTTTGTCAATTTTATTAATCCTTTCAAAGAACCAACTTCTAGTCATTTTTATTCTTTCTATTGTTTTTTGTTTGCTCATTTTGTTTCATTTATATCTGCTAAAATTTTTATTTCCTTTTTTCTGGAGACTGTAGCATTTTTTTTTCCCCTCATTGTTGGAGATACTGGTTTAAGATGTGGATTTTGGTTCTTCTTTTTGTATATGTGTGTTTATTGCTATATGTTGTCCTTTGAGCACTGATTTTTCTGTGCCCAAAATATTTTGATATGTTGTATATTCATACTCCTTTGATTCCAGAAAAAATGTTCTTTCTTTTATTATCCAGTAGGTTTTAAGCAGAGTATCAATCAGTTTCCATGTATTTAATTTTTTTCCTGGATCTTCCTACTGTTGATTTCCAAATTTATAGCATTGTGAGTTAAGAAGGTGCTTTTTAGTATTTTGACATTTTACATTTATGGGAGCTTGCTTTGTGGCCTAGCACATCCTTTATTCTGGAGAATGTTGCATATGCACTGGAAAAGAATATATGTTGTACTATGTTGGGTGAGTTGTCTCTGTACATCTATGAGGCCTGGTTGGTTGATTGTGATATTTAGTTCTTCAGTATTTTTGTTGAGTTTCTTTCTAATTTCATCCTTCATCAAAAGTGTTCTACGAAGGTCTCCTATTATTATTGTGGCCTTGTCTATTTCTCTTTTCAATTCTGTAAATTTTAATTTATGTATCTTATTGCTCTTTTATTGAGTACATAGATATTTATTGTGATTATTCCTGCTTTTTGAATTGAACCTTTAATCAATATATCATGTCCTTCATCGTGTGTTTTCCTGGTTTTTGCCTTAAAGTCTAATTTTCAAAAATTAATATTGTTACTACTGCTTCTTTCTTTTTTGCCATTTGCTTGATACTTGTTTTTACACCCTTTGATTTGTAGCTTATTTTTGTCTTTGCTTCTAAAGTGTGTATCTTGTAGACAACAAACTGATGGGTCATGTTTTCTTATCTACTCTGCTACTTTGTAACTCTTTATTAGCGCATATTTACATTCAGTGTAATTATCAATATGTATCAATTTTCTGCTTTAATTTTGCTGTTATTGTGTATGTGATGCTTGCTCTTTTTTTTCTTTGCTGAGTTAATTTTGTTTAGAGGTTTTCTTATTATTTCATTCACTGCTTTTGTTTTAGTATTTACTGAGTTTCTTTTCTTTTTTTTATTATTATTTTGGAAGAAAGTATATTAATTTTCTTTGTGGTTACCCTGTGATTTATTATTATCTTCTCACATTCAAAATAGTCTGTTCTATTTTGAAATTTCCTGGAATTCCTCTCTATTGGGAAGTTTGTAACTAAACCTTATATGTACTCTTTTTGCTTTGTAGTTGCCTACAAACTGACATCTCTGGTTCCTTATCTTTAGTCTTGTAAGCTTCTTTTATTTTTGATACTTTTATATCAGTTGTAAGAGGTGCAGACTGAATGTTCCTTAGAAATGAGAATGAACAGACTTCATCTCATGTATATTGGTCATGTTGTCAGAAGGAATTAGTAACTAGAGAAGTATATCACATTTGGTATAGGAGAAGGTCTGCAATAAAGGAAAGGCCCTCAATAATGGAGTGACACTGCAATGGTGGGTTTAAGTATGGCAAAGATTGTGAAGAAGATGCAGTACTGGCAGTGTTTTGTTCTATTGTACATAGGTACATTACGAGTCAGAGCCGCCCCCATGACATCTAACACCAAAAACATATCTGGGTTGATTTCCAGGTGATATTATCCTGTGTCTTACTCTCATATTATTGTCTGTTGTTGTTGATTCTCTTTCCAAAGGATGCCCTTTAACATCTCCTGCAAAGTTGATCTGTTTTTTATACATACCCTTTCTATTTTCTAGAAATGTCTCAATTTCACTATTGTATTATAGGGATAATTTTGCTGGGTTGTATAATTCTTGATTTGCAATTTTGTCTTTCAAGTTTTATATATATCATCCCATTGTCTTCTTGCTTGCATGGTTTCTGCCAAGAAATCACAGATTAGACTGAATGATTTTTTCTTTGTAGGTAGTTTTTAATTTATCCTGAGCTGTTTTTGGAATTATTTTTTTGTCCTTGGTTTTGGAACATTTGATTATAATATGTCTTGATGATTTACTTTTGGAGTCTATCCTATTTGAAGTTCATTGATCTTCTTGAATGCATAACTTCTAATCTTTCATGATATTAGGGAAGTTTTCTGTCAATAATTTTTAAATAATTTTCTTGGTTCATTTTTTTGTTCCTTCCTGTTTGAATTGCTATCAAACATAATTT